AAACGGTAAAATTCTTGCGAAGTGACTCTCACAGCAGCTCTGGAGATTACGTTTTTGTGTTCATGCCGTCATATAGTGAGACGCAGAGGCCGGAAATCACCGCGAGCGTCACGCGTGCTTCAGTATTTGTGTAGTAAACAAAACCGCGTTTCCGCCATTCATACATACAGAGGCAAGCGGAACATGCAGGATTCATATTTAAACCGTCTTTTTGCATTTTAATATTCACAGACACTAGTTCATATCGCGATTCGAATTAAGTGGCAAACCTACTTTTGATTTATTTGTCCAAAATTGACGAATTCCATGCCATTCCGGGCTATAGAGTAAATTGCGTTTTTATGAATGGACTCCGCGATCTCGTCCGTGTTTTCGCAGAAACCATATGGCCCTAGAAATGTAACCACACTTCACAACTTTTCGGCTTGCCCTGTGTGTTTGAAGAGTTGCACGGGGGACATCATTGCAGGGGTGACATCACATCACAGGGTCTCTCTCTTTCTCTCTCTGTAGCGTATGCGCCCAGATGCGTTCTCAGCTACCGAAATTTGGCACCGATTGATTTAACGTGAATCGGTACTCTGTAGTACCGACACAATTCGGTCGGTACCCTTAAAAGTACCGAGTTCGGTTCCCAACCCTAGCGCTCGTGGAACACCAGTTGTTTTGCTACATTAATAACACGTGTATATGTGTTTACACTATGTTGTGTGTGTTGTAGGTGGTGATGAAGTTGGTCCGCTTGCTTCCTGACGGTCACCGGATGAAGCGGGAGGTTGATCTGGCGTTAGACTCGGTCAGCGAGACCATGACGCCGCTGCACTATCACCTGCGGGAAATCATCATCTGCTCCTACAGACAGGTAGAGGGCGCTCTGTCATCTCATGCACTGATAGATTGTGTCCTTGTGTGTCACTTCAGTCTGTCTGATGCATATGCTGCACAAAACACCAAGAGCTTTTTAAAACAAACTGCTTCAGTCTGATTGCTGGTTTACAATTGTGTTTACTGGCTTGATACTGTGACTGCAGAGGAGTCTAAGAAATAGTTGCTGTATGTTTGAGAGGTTCATGACATCAAATCATTTTACATATTCAGAGTTTTATGAGTTTGTTTTAAGATTTTTTTATTTACTTTTTTCTATTACTAATTTTCTAATAAATATGCATTTAATCTTAAATCTTTTTAATTTTAAATAATATTGTTATATAAATATATAATGTAATATTTATTCATTAATAATTGTTTCACATATGACAAAATACTTTTTTAATAAAATTTTATTTTATTCTAAGTATATGCTCTTTTATTTTGTATGTTCTATTATTTATTTTCTAATACTTATTGATTTATTTAAAATAAAACAATACTTTATTTTATTCTTAATATATATTGTACATTACATTTTTTATTTTCTACTATTTATTTTCTAATTTATTTATTTAAGTTTTATTTTATTTTAAATACAATAAAACAAAATACTACATTTATTTTATTCTAAATATGCATATTTATTTATTTAAATGAAAAGAAAACATTGCTTAATTTTATTTTATTCTAAACATGCTCCATGTTTTTATAATTTATTCATTTTATTTTATTTTTATTTTGTTTATTTTTTTTATTATAATTTAAAAAAAATTTTTTTTATCTTATTTTATTTTATTTTATTTTATTTTATGCATTGAAGCAGTAAAGGAGAAGCATGATGAGGTGCTCATCAAACATGTTCCTCCTTCACTAGTGTTTTAAATCACCTCATTTTCAATGATTTGTTTGGCAGCTTTGTGTTTTATCTACATCTGTATTCTTGTGTCGTCTCTGAGTGTCCAGTAGATGGCAGCACATTACCTCGTTAGATTTCCACAACTACTCCATAATCAGACGCTAATCAACTTCAGCCTCTATTCATACAAGCAGCACAAATGTCAAGAGTCTCCTTGATTTCATCAGAAGGATTCTGGGAAAACCCTCTAGTGTTTGTTTGACGTTTCCTCGTGCATTAAGATCTGCAGTGGGCTGTGAAAGCCTAACGACTGACAGACGCTGTGCCGTGAGCGAGGGGTGTTTGTGGGTCAGGACGGTCCCGGGTGTCAGTGTCGCTCTTATGTAAAGCTCAGAGGGGCGGGTTTGTGCAGCGAGAGCCGCTCTCAATGGATCACATTGTCCCGAGCCGCTGTTTTTTCCCTCCGCGTTCAGTCATTACAGTACTGGAGCCCGTCTCAGATTAGTTTTTCCCGTGTGGAAAGCGAACACTGATTCTTCTGTTTCTTGTCTCTTTGTTGCTTTAGATAAGCGCTGCTGACGGAGAGCGATTTGTAATTGAAATGATCACAGGATGTTTTTGTGTACAAATGACTGTGTGATGCTGGAAGCGTCTCTGAGAGAGATTGACTTGTTTGAGACCCTTAAAGGGACAGTTCACCTAAAAATTACAATTCTGTCATCATTTGCTCATCCTCGAGCTGTTTGAGCTTCTTACATGTGTGGAGCATAAAAGACGATGTTTTGAAGAATGTTAGTGACCAGGGCTGCGTTTCCCAAAAGCATCGTAAGCCTAAGTTGATCGTAGCTCCATTGGTTTCATTACAACGCTTTTGGGAAACGCAGCCCAGACCAGTTGCTGGCAGATATTGACTTCCATAGTAGGTTAAAAAAAATACTATGGAAGTCAATGGCTACCGTCAGCTGTTTGGTTGGCCTAACATTCTTCAAAATACCTTAAGAAGAAATTCATACAGGTTTGAAACTTAAAGGCGAGTAAATGATGACAGTAAATGATACATTTTTGGGTGAACTGTCCCTTTAAGCATATGCTTCTGTTATGAATTACCATATTTTCCGGAATATAACTATATAAATACTTATATTTATATAACTATAATTTTTTAATCATCTTATATGTGCTAAACTTTTATAGCGATTTATATAGTGCAATTAATGTTGTGCACACAACACGTGGATTTGTGCTGAGTGAGCGAGTTTACTTGAGCCTAAGATTATTTGTATAAAGCATTTTCAACACACTTTGCTTTAAATAAATTAGTTTATAATAAATATTGTTTATAATGTCTGTTTTATACTTAACATTTATCTTTCTAATTCTGTTCTAAATACTGCATTTGCTCTGCAGCGAGAGGAACTAAAACACATGTTTATAAAGTTTGTAAACATTTTATTTTATTTACTGGTATTTTACATTATTTCTGAATTGAATAATAAAATGCATCTTATATGCCAATGCAACTTAATTTTTTTTTTCCTCTCAACAATGCAATTTTGGCCCGGTGTGACTTATTTTCCGGATAATATTGTATATCTGTGAAATAATCTGTGCTAAATGATCCGAAATTCTGATTTGAATATCGACAGGCATTTTTCACCTTTTCTATTATTGTGATATCAAACCATAGAAATGTCAATATTTTGGCACGCTCTTGTCTGTAAAACTGTTATTGGTCTGCAGTATTTTTTTTAAAGCCGTCATGAAATGAAAATCTATTTTCTAAATGTTTGTTACAGATCTTATTGTGAAGATCTTTATGCATGCATATGTATCTTTTGTTGTCATTTTTTTTGACTTTGTAATGCTTAATCAAATTTCATTTTCATAATCCATTACACTCAGATATACTATATCATAATATGGATGAAAAGACCTGTCTTCTGTTTCATCATGACTTTAACATCATGAGACAACACCTTTTAATCAGGACAAACTTAGAAATACTTTTTTTGGACCTAGGAAATCTTTTATAGTGTTTTCATGCTGTGCTGATTAGAAATACTTACTTAGAAAACTTAGAAATACTTTTTTTGGACCTAGGAAATCTTTTATAGTGTTTTCATGCTGTGCTGAATTGAATCAAATGTTTGATTATTTTCTGTAATAATTAATTAATAATTCAACTTTTTCCAGAACCCGCCCCTAAATTGCACATAAATACAATCAAACTGTCACTGGTTGCTTTATATGTCAATCACTGGACAGTTTTTGGTCAAAAAAGGTAGTTAGGCCTGGCTTCATGAGTTTATGGGTTTAATATTCATTTGTCAATACGTGAAGGTATTCATCTGTTTCTAAATATGTTTGTTTGCATTTGGCACTGTTTTTGCCTTGTTTTCTGGCTGCCGTTGATCATCTGATCACGTTTTGCATCACACTGTTTCCATGGCAACCGCATCCCACTCTGGACCATTGACATTAGCTTCAGTTCTTGTGCGGTTTGTTTGATTACAATGCAAACTTTCAGACAGCTTTGATACACACAAGCCTCATAATTTTAGTTCATATCACTTCTGTCTGTACAACACGCGTCTGATGGATTATCTGAAAGTGCTTCCTTTGCACTATTTATTTTAATCGAAAGACTGTTTTGTTCTGCGCATATTGCTCTAGTCAGACTGATTCTGGTTTCAGGTTCCCATCCGACGCTGCAGCCAAATCATATAGTGAGTCGAAGCCGAAAAACCCAATGAAATATTCCAGTAAAAGTGGAGGAAATGTAAATCAGTACCTAAAGAAAGGCCCTCATGGTTTGGAAGGCGGTGTGGAAAAATATTTGCAGAAGGAAGAGAATGTAGAGAGTAGCGACGTCACGAGAGAGAGGGATGGAGGCGATCCAGACGGCGGGAATTTAGGAGAGACCACCGCACAAAAAGATCCTGACGGAAAACGTGTGCGTGTGGAGGGACGGCAGCCAAAATCATTCGGCCAGAACAATTCGAGCCGTCCGTCTGAGCGCAGATTAAAGCTGTGAACAGCTCGGTTTTGCTTTGCGCTGATATCTGACACGCTTTGAATCTTGTTGCATGTGTGTAGAGAGCTAAAATGCCAAAACCTGAGCGTGCAATTAAAAAGAGTTATTTTTGGAATTTAGAAGCCATGGTTAATCTCCATACATAAATTACAAGACATTTCTGTAGCAGTGATATAAATGTGTATGCTCAGTTCTGGAAAAGGCATGGAAATTTAATGGACGATTTGGAAACCCTCATACAGTAGATGAGATTTTAAAAGCGCTGTAAGCACTAGAAGATCATAAAAACACTGAATCCTAGAAATCTAACAATATTTTTAGGACTAAATCCAAACATATTTGACTTCTGATCATCTGATGTACACTGAAACACTCGTATCTGATTACTACGTGAGTAATTTCATTGTGAGTACTACGAAGTCTTTTTTGTCAAAAATGATATATACATATAATTAAGAGTAAATATATGTATATGCATATGCATGGGCGACATTTGACTCTTGAGTCGGGGGGGGGGGGGAGAAAAAAGTACAGTCATTGGAAGTACAGTATGCATCAAAAATGCTCTACCACGCATCAAAGCAGAATAGAATTAATCAAGAATAACTTAGAGGTTGCCTGCGTTTACTAAACTGTGGAGCTTTGACTCTTGTTGCTGATTTGAATTGTGATGCTTCCCGATTTAAGTGGCCTTTCTTTTTTTAACCAGAAATGTGCATGCTTTTCTGATGTTCGTTTCAGTTTTCTGTGTATTTTTCGCGTATCAATTCAAATGTGTTCGTTTTGAATCGTTGCTACTAAAGGTGAGACACGTGAGGAAGAAGTAAACGATCAGTTGTGGGACTATTCTGTCTTAAATTGCATACCATTCATTTCTGAACCTTTTTCAAAGGCATTTTTGTCCTGTCCATTGCTTTGGTTATCACTGTGTCAATCACTGATATTTCGAGAATGAATCCAGCATAAATATGCAGATGTCATTCCCGAAACGTTACAGCATGTATGTGTCCGAAAAACGAAAGTTTCATACAAATTCTGAATGGATTATAGCCTTGAAAGCAAGCAATGCACGCTCCCTTTATTATCATCTTAGTTCATTGCG